ACGCAGCCATGAAACAATTTGTCAGGAAGCAGCACCCCATAACTTATCTCGGTTTAAACATAGATAATATTAATTCTTGTACTTGTTAAATGGCTTTGAAGGTTCCCAAGAGAAACTGACTCTCCTAGATACAAAGTTAATACCAGCTACTGTGGTAGGAACTTCCTTCGCTAATTCATGGCGACTGCAGAAGCCATTGAAAGTCTTTGTCATAACTTCTTCATATGATTTCTTTAACTTCTTTTTTTGTTTTTTATATCCTATAACTTCTTGATAAAATTCCATAAATTACATTGTGGAACTGTCATCTTTTTTAGCATTTATTTTGCACCTAATTTTGTTAGTTTTACTCTTCAGTGTAGGCAAGATATGCAGCCACTAATCTATTGTGAATCATGAATTTCAGGCTATGGAGTACCTATTAAGGTGTAGGCAACAAGGTGGAAGGAGTTCTGCAGGAGAGTTCTTTGCCTTTCTCTCTGGATTTCAGAAAGCATCTAGGTAATTCCATTGTGCGTGTGAGCAAAATGGCTTTAGTTTTGAGAAAGCTATGCGTCCAAGTTGTTCTAGATTTTGAGGATATTTGTTCAGTGGACAATTAATCAACTGGCTCAATAGAAATTTCAAACTGTGTTCACAGTAAATTATATGATTTGTTTCAAGGAAAAAAAAAAAGTTGGATGATTATTGTCAAATTATGAAGTCATATAACAAGATGGACTAGGTTACTCTTTTGTTTGCAAAAACCATCGGAATTGGAATAAACAATCTCCTCTTTTATGCAAATACAACACAGATCAGTCTATGCATAGATAAGGTCTTTGGCCTACAAATATTCTCTAGGGCTTAGACCTTCCAACATAACAAGCTCCTCTCCACAATACATCTTTGGGTGTTTTCCTAAAACTAAATTTGATTGAGTGGAATGACTTAAGGGTAGAAAAAAGGTTGAATCAAACAGCGGCAGAAAATAGTTCTCGAATCCTTTCTTAACCAGATTATGCCTAGGTATGTGATCTGTTGAGAATTTCAAATGCGGTTACAGGCTGTTTGAACTAGCATTAGCTTTATATTTTATGGCCTTGCCCAATGGTTCTTGCTGATTCCTTGTGGGAGAAGTACTTTGAGTACAAACCATGCTTATAGTGCTATAGACTCCCCTTATCTTTCTAATATACTCCATATGCTTTTGCGTTTTGTTGGGTTTCAAATCAGAAACTGAAAAATCACTGTGCAGAAATTTTGCAAAAAGGCAATTGACTTGGTTTAGGAATGAGCGGATATATCACTGGCTTGATGCTTCTAAACCCCTGGTATGTTATTTATTTATTTATTTTCTTTCTTCTGTTCAAACTACATTTCTTTCCCACTATGAAAAGTAGCGCTGCCAATTTTGTTCTCCACATACTCTGTATTTTACAACCTTCATTCTCTAATCTAAAAGTTGATCGCTGATGTTCTTGTTATTCACTTGATTGAATTCTGTAATCGTCTTAAACTAATTTTCTTAGTGGAAGGGTTTTTATTATAGTTTCTTCATTTAGCTTAAATAATTAAGTTTTACAATACATTCTACTTCGGATACTAATACTAGTAAATTTCGATGTACGACCACGTATTAACTATCTTTACTATGCAACTGTTCTATTTTTCTCGAAGATTTTATACCTCTAAATTCCTGTAGTTCGTCTATGAAACCATGAGAACTTTGAAGTTGTTGAGAAGTCTCTTACAAAAGGGGAAAGAGAATTAATATTACTAATCATAGCCTTTGTTGAGAATTTTCCCTTCAGCATGGTTGCTTTTGTACAATCCTTTTATGTCAATTTCAAACTCAACCATTTACTTCTATCAACATGCTGCTTTCTTCTTCTTGTATGAATCTTTTTCAAAATATGGCTCGGGTAGTATCATTCTATAGTCAGCATGCATTCAACCCATGACTAAACCCGTGCTTATGCAAGCAACGCGTTAATGCTTCAGTGACTTGGTTTTTTAGTGAGCACAGGAGTAGACGAATTTTACATGGATAAATCCATTGTATTCATGTTAATGATTGAATTGTAAGGACAAAAATATGTGGGACAAAAATATTTGCAGGAAGAGTTCATATAACAATGCATCGAAGAGTTGTTTAAATTACTAGTACCATGTTTATAGTAACAATTTTATGATGAAATTCTCAGTCTGTTCTGATCAATGTGTGGGACAAAAATATTTGCAGGAAAATGCACTCGACTTTATTTATGATGCTTACCATAATGAAAGTGGAAATATCTCCGTTCCAGATTCACTTAGAATGGAGAAAGATATTTCCAGTCACCGAGAGGCTTCGGAACTCAAGGCTTATCGAGCGAAAAATAGGTACTACTTACAGTCACGTCAATTATATCACATATGGGCATTTTTGTATCAAATCATGAAATGTGCCAATAACAGCTTCTTCACCCCCCAATTCACAGATATTTTGTTAGACGTGAAGATTGTGCTGATGTTTTGGATTGGATAAAAAGAACCCAAAGTGTTTACGAAGATAATCCTGTCGCTTGAACGAGTTCGATCTCGACCTCATTTTTTTATGCAAAGAAATCATACTTTCCAAAAAATCTTGGTAGACCATTCACTTTACTCCTCTACAATATACTTCATTTTTCAGCTTGTTCGGGTTAAAATCGTTCTGATGCATGGACTTTTCTGCAGCAGATCTCATTTGAGTTGTCCATAAGTTCAGAAGTTTGATAATGCTGCTTCTCAATATCGGATTTTCCCCCCCATTTTTGGTCATCTTAAAGAAGGCGAGCTTGATTATATTATATTCAGCGCTTGCAGTTACAGAACTCCAGAATGATGAGTTCCCAATGACCATTCAGTCTTCAAAGTGGTCAGTATGCCTTATTTTTTGGAGTTGGTCTAATTTATTTTGAGGTACTTATATCTTGTCCTATGAATCAACCTGACTATGATGCTTTTCTTGTTGTTGTTAGTTTTGTTCTTTGAATTGTTCTTTGAATTGTTCTTTGAATGAATAGGAATATTATGTAAAGTGATAGTAATATTCTAGCAGATTAAAGTTGCACACATTCCCATAAAAAGATGACCAGATGGCCTCATGGAAAGGCATCAGCCATGGCCAAGGGGCATCCATCTGCTTTGCTGATAAGAGCAAGAAAAGAAAATGGTCCAAAATCTTTTTCAAGGATGCCCTTCACTTCAATCATCTTTGTTTTGCCCACCAACACTATGAACTTATTTGGTTTTTTCATGGTATTGTGTTGAAAAAATTCATCCAAGTGTCGTTTTTCCTCTCATGTAATGAGTTATGTAATAGCCAAAGTCCGAGCCCACCGCTAGTAGATATTGTCCTTTCTAGACTTTTCCTTTTCTCCAGTGGGATCTCACAATCGATGTTAGGGAGAGGCTTCCACACTCTTTTAAAAAATGTTTTGTTCCTCTCTCTAGCCGATGTGTGATCTCACAATTTACCCCCTTTTTGTCTTCGCTAGCACACTGTTCAGTATTCACCCCCCTTCGGAGCTTAGTGTCTTTGTTGGCACACTGCTTCGGTATCTGACTCTGATACCATTTGTAATAGCCTAAGCTTACCCACTAACAAATATTATATGTTTTGACTTGTTACATATCGTTGTCAGCCTCACGATTTTAAACGCGTCTATTAAGGAGAGGTTTTTCCATGCTTATAAAGAATGTTTTGTTCTCTTTTTCAACCGATGTGGGATCTTACCGGTTAATTGATCAACAAATTGAAAATAGAAAGATTAAAATTATTTATTACCAATTAAAGTGTGGGATTAAATTATTATTTTTTTTCTAGAGCTAAAATGTTTTAACATATATCATTTTAAGAACAAAATACTTAAAAATTAATGTCAAAATAGATTTTTTTTTTTTTTACAATAATAAATAATAGTAATATTGATAATTTCTCTTCATACCCTTCACTTATTAAAATTTTTTATTTTATACCCATTCAAAGTTTAAAACGCTATTTCTTTAAATTCATGGTTTAAATTGTCAACATAAATATTTTTAAAAATAAAACGTCTACTCAAAGACCTCTAATTTATTCTTTTAATGTATATAACAGTTGTTAAATTCAAAAAGCGTCGTCGTTTATATAATTTGCCTTTTTTCTCTCTTTCTTTTAATAATTTTTTTAATTTAATATTAAAAAATTGATTTGAAATTCTAATTTACATGTTTTGATATAAATTTTTTATTTTGTATCTAATAAAATCATATATTTATTACCATAAAATTTAAAATACAAGATTTTATAAAAATTTATTAGATGACCTATACAGAGAGTTGAGTATAGAAGTGTAGTGATGTATGCAGGAGACTGTCAAGTGGAAGTGATGTATAGGCATCTTAACAGACTGATAGACTGTCGAGTGGGAGTGATGTATAGGCATCTTAATAGGTAAACTGTCGAGTGGAAGTGATGTATAGGCATCTTAACAGACTGGTAGACTGTCGAGTGGGAGTGATGTATAGGCATCTTTCTTAACAGACTGGTAGACTGTCAAGTGGGAGTGATGTATAGGCATCTTAACAGGTAAACTGTCGAGTGGAAGTGATGTATATGCATTTTAACAGACTAGTAGATTTGAACCTTATTCCTACGTGATGTATGCAGCTAGATTTGAACCTTATTCCTACGTGACTTGATGTGATGTACGCAGTTAAGGCATCCTAATAGACCGATAAACTTGAACCTAGTAGATTGATTTGAACCTTGTTTTTACATGATCCGACCAACTTTGTTGGACCTGATCAATTCCAAAACTTAAATTTATAATTTAAATTTAATTGTGTTTACAATATTTATTTGTTTTTATTTTATTTTATTTTTATTTTGAACTAAAAAAAATTCCATTTTTAGATAACCAATCAACAAAATTCAAGATCTGAAAAATAAACCGATGGAAAGAAAAAAATATCGAAATTACCATCGAACCCTTCGCCTTGAGAATAAAAGCGAAGGCACAAAGCTTCGATCTGAATAACCCTTCATTTCCGCAAAACCCTTTCTTCTTCTTCTTCTTCTTCTTCTCTTTCTCGGTTTCGTCGGTGTTCTTCTACGTGGAACAATGAAGGCCTCACTTCTCAGATCCGTTCGTTCTGCCGTTTCGAGGTCCTCAGCGTCGAATCACCTCTTGAGACGTAGCTTTGGGACCGAATCGGTGCCGGAAAGGAAAGTCACCGTACTCGGTGCCGCTGGTGGGATTGGGCAGCCATTGTCGCTTCTTATGAAGCTCAATCCACTTGTTTCTAGGCTCGCACTCTACGATATCGCTGGTACTCCTGGTGTTGCCGCCGATGTCGGTCATGTTAACACTAGATCCGAGGTCAATATCGTTTCTTTCCACCTTTTTTCTTGCACGGTTACGAGTAATTGTGTTTTGATTTGTGGATGCCTCTTTTAGGAATGCAATGGATCTTGTTTTCGTTCGCGTGATTTCAATTTCTGTGTTATTTTGTTTCCGGATGTATATTGTTTGTTTTCTGCTCCATATTTTAAGTCGATTTTGAGTTATGTTTTGTTCTAATGCGTTTCGTATTCATCGATTTGGGCTATTTTTGTTCATTTCATGATTTTTTGCATTCTCTGTAATTTATTTAAATCAGTGTTCTTTGCATGCTTATTCTAAACTCTTTTTGCGACTTGTAGGTTACCGGCTACGCTGGTGAGGAGCAACTCGCCAAAGCTTTGGAGGGATCTGATGTTGTCATCATTCCTGCCGGTGTTCCGAGAAAGCCTGGGATGACCCGTGATGATCTCTTCAACATCAATGCTGGCATTGTTAAATCACTTTGCACAGCCATTGCTAAGTACTGCCCCAATGTCTGTTCCCACGACTCTTCTACTGATGCATTTTCTTTTCTTTAGTTTCTTTTTTATCTGGCTTCATTTTGTAATCGAAATACGGATTTGCAGGCTCTTGTTAACATGATCAGTAACCCCGTCAACTCAACTGTCCCAATTGCTGCTGAGGTTTTCAAGAAAGCTGGTACTTACGATGAAAGGAAGTTGTTTGGTGTTACTACTCTTGATGTCGTCAGGGCCAAGACCTTTTATGCTGGGAAAGCTAATGCTCCAGTATCTGGTACAAGTCGTTGCTATAATTCCGTTTTTGAAATTTCTCTGTAATTTTCCATTTACAATGATCAAGGATGTTTCCTTGTTACGCTGCACACATAGTAGCAAGGTCAAACTCTATTGCCTGACTGTTGTAATACTGTTACAGAGGTTAATGTGCCTGTTATTGGTGGCCATGCTGGTATTACTATTCTTCCACTATTTTCTCAGGTACTTCCCTTTCTAAGTCAGCTTTCTTTCTGTTTACAATTTTATTAGTGATATAAGCAGTGTTCTTGCATCGGATGCTTTGGATTAGAGGGCCTTGTTGTTTTTATACAGTGTATCTGATTGTCACAGGCTACCCCAAAAGCTAATTTGTCAGATGATACTATTTTGGCTCTCACCAAGCGAACTCAAGATGGAGGAACAGAAGTTGTGGAAGCAAAGGCAGGAAAGGGTTCTGCTACATTATCAATGGCGTAAGACTTTTAACTTTCTGCTGGATTATTTATTAGAAGTTTATTTCCTGAACTTCGAGGCTTGTGAACAGTATTGTTATGTTGCGATCATCACACAAACATTACTCGGTGAACAATGTGAATATATTAAACGTTTTTGAATTACTGTTTCTGGCAGCTATGCTGGAGCCCTTTTCGCCGATGCTTGTCTCAAGGGATTGAATGGGGTTCCAGATGTTGTGGAATGCACGTTTGTGCAATCAACTGTCACTGAACTTCCATTCTTTGCCTCAAAGGTAACTGGTTCCGTCACTGCTTTTTCCTTATAGCATATATTTGAGATGAAACTCGAAAAATTAGAAGTTGAACTGTTGGTGTTTCTTTATAGTCGCAATCCTCCAACAACATGAATTGTTGTTCACTTTGATTTTATTGTATAAAACAGGTTAAGCTTGGAAAGAATGGAGTAGAACAAGTTTTGGATTTGGGTACTCTCTCAGACTTCGAGAAAGAAGGTTTGGAAAAGCTCAAGCCCGAGCTCAAAGCTTCTATTGAGAAAGGAATCCAGTTTGCAAACGCCAATTAGAAGATGTTTATATTATTTACAATCAGGACAGGTATCTCTGCCCGCATCACCATAAAACTCGTCAATTTTTTGCTTTCCCCGACCCAATTGTAACTGATAATGCTGCTTACGAGCAACCGGCTTTACTGTTTTTGTTAGGTTAGATCATTTTCTGTCGTATAAATTTTATCAATAATTCCCCGTGGCATGTTTTTGTGGGATTTCTGGTTGGTTACTTCTGAACCTGTGATAACTTCATATTAGACTCTTCAATTCTTAATATTGAGAATCGTCCCACCATGATAGGTTGTGGAAAAGTTTCCTTCCATTGATTTAGTGTTTAGTGGATTTCATCAGATTTCTAAATGTTTTAAAATAAAAAGTGCTTTTAAATGCAACGAAAAGGTGTTCTTTCTTTTGTTCTTTTGGTCACAAACTGTTTATATATCAATTTTGCGTGGAGGTTGAATTTTTTAAAATTTGTGTTCATATTGGTGGTGGATTGTGTGTTCAGAATTAGTCATTGATAAATTTTCACAAACCCAATTGGTATATGATATGACAGGGCAACCCAATATTTCATGATATTAGTTTAGATGATATTAGTTTTGTGTTCTTATATATATATATATATATATATATATATATTATTTATTCAAAAGGCAGTCTATAAATGAACAATTATTTTTTGACTGTTAATTCAGACCTTTGAAAAGACGTTCTGTTATTGATGCATCATCCTAAGAACTTTTTATTTGAATGAGATTGAATGATAAAATGAAATTAAGTTGCCTCAATAATAACTAAGAATACTTTGATTTTCTGTTTTTGAAAGTAGAACCAAATCAAGTTCTTGAAAACTATTAAAAAACCATTTTTTTTAGAAGAAATATTTTTGTATTGAATGTCACTAAGAATTCAAGTATGAATGAAACTCTAGTACAAAATTTGGGATGAAACGTGTTAATTGTGAAAACAAAAAAACTAAAATTAAAATCATTATCAAGGGAGGATAGTGTTTAAAAGAATAGATGGCACCGAGAAATGTTTACCGAAGTCTCAACAAGCTTTGTGGAGATGTTTACTTTGTGTTACACATCAACATAATAATCTTCGTATTTACACTATTAACGGTTTTTTTTAAAGCTTTTATCATCATGGAGTCGGATTTACACAAATTATATGAAAGTCAACCCACAAAAAAAAAAATATTCTTGTGAGAGAGCCCGTTCTCGGTCAGACATACAATGAAATCACTTTCATATTCTTTCCTCGGACCCTACTAAGTCATATACACATGGGAGAACTGGGGAAGGGGTCAGATTTATCCCGACGAGAAAAAGACATGACATGTACTCTTCTCTTGAAGTGAGAGATTCAGGTCTGGACATACTTATTTGTGCGTACAAGAAAATGTTAGAAGATGGATGGTTTTAGTATATACAGATGCTGCTGCAACATAAAATGTTACAAGGATGTAAATAAGTTTGGGGCCAAAGAACATGGAAAGATCAATCCTAGAATGTGAGGGGGAATTAATTGACTTATGCTAACTTCTTCCTTTTATTTTACAAAAATATGGACTTCCAAATTGTCAAAGCAAGAAATGGGGAAATGCCTATTAATTAAATGTAAAGCAAACCATGAATGAGATTTCTGATTCCATCTTCTAAAATTATCGAAGACTACTTTTGATCTCTTCCCTTGGAACCTGCATGAGCCCCCGAGATTGCTCCGTCGCCCCCGAACTATACATACGATCCTGTTGCGGCGAAACGAGCTCATCAATTTTATGTTTCATACATAGTTTCATCTTCATAAGAAAAAGCCTCCATTCGCAATATGACTTGTTACTCTTTTTTATAATGGCTTGCAGCAAAATATAAATGAAAATCAGTTTTGATGTGTAAACACGAGGCTAAATTACAAAAAATACCCTTGACCTTTGTCCCTTAATTCGAAACTTGTAACATTATCCTAAACCTTTCATAAACGTTTAAAAACTACTCTTGAAGTAGAAACTCGTCCAATGATGTAGTAGTAGACTGAAACGGAAATTAGGACCAAAACACTATCATATCCATTCTAAGTCCCAATCTTCATCCAAAATTTTAACTGATTTATACTCGAAGGAGGGTAGCTTTGAAAATTTTAGAAAAGTCAAGGGTAACAATATTACAAACTTTTAAAAGAATAAGGGTATTTTTGAAACCGATTGCAAAGTTGAAGGGCGTTTTTGTAATTCGGCCGAAAAGTGAACGTCGGGTAAAGGTTTGAAGGTTCTATAAGTAAAGCTACAAGAAATTTATCATGATGAAAAGAGGAACTGCCTAGAATGCAAGCAAGATGAACACAATCTTTAAGTTAGAGGCCTACAAGGAAACATTTTCAAAAAAATGTCAAAATGATCAAAATATATGATTATTCACACAGAATTCTTTCAGCATAATTGGTTTAGATAAAGGGAGCACATGCTGGAAAATCATAGAACAAAGAGTACTCAATGTTAAATATTGATAGGAGAAGCTACCGAGCTCGGTACCAGACTTCGACTTCCTACCTTATTTTAGTCAATTCAACCTGAGTGAGACCGAATTCCGTCTCCACATGTCGAGGAACTATCATTTTCAGAGTCTGTACAACAAAGAAGCAAATGAATGAAGTTTTAGGAAATAGCTGATATAGATTCTATAATCACTGACTGATTAGGATATAACTTTACAACTTACTGCTAGAACCACTGACTGAATCACATGCTCAGCAAATTAGTGATATGGTATGAACTTTAAAACTATAGATTCATCCATGGGGCGCACATGATGAAAGGTTCCTTTTTTTAGGGTACTCCTGGGAACAGATCCAGTGGAGACGGGATGAGGCCTGTAGCTTAGAGGATTAGAGCACGTGGCTTCGAACCACGGTGTCTTTTTTTAGGGTACTCCTGGGGAACAGATCCAGTGGAGACGGGATGAGGCCTGTAGTTTAGAGGATTAGAGCACGTGGCTACGAACCACGGTGTAGGGGGTTCAAATCCCTCCTCGCCCACAACCGGTAGACACTATTCCTTCTTCAACTTAAGGTAAATCAGACAATAACCTAGTATCAAGTGGTTGTTTCCATGGTAGAGACATGTTTTGTTATGTTTTTCCTTTTCTATGTTACCTAAGGTTAAGTTCTTCTTAGACTAAAAAGCTTTTTACAAAAAGAATTCAATAAATTTACCTGCATTACCACCTACATGTTCTCCTGCTGCATTAGCCACTGCTGGATCCTGCATCATTACAGTATGGCGTATGTTTCACCCTGCTGACCATTTTTTATAACGAACAAAGTCGAAACTGTAACAAATTGAATGCAAATCTTACAGTATCCTTGGTCGAGTAGTGAGATGATTTCTCTCCTGATTGAAGACTGGCCTCAGCTTTTCTCTTGTTCTTGATCAAACTTCTTTTGTAGTTTGCCACAAACCTCTCAAGTTCCCAAAGCGTTTCGGAATCGACACTTCCAATATCCAACTCAATTTCGTCATCGTTTTGGAAGAGTCCCTGGTTCCTCTTCTTGATAATCTTAACAACATTATTCAGCTTATCTGATGGTAAATCCTGAAGATCAATGCTTAGTTTCTGTTTTTCTTCATAAGTCATGTCTCTGTGTTCTTGATTCTTGGCTTTTGGTTTCTTGTCAGGATGAACAACATCTACAAGGGTCTGTTTGGGAACGAGGGGTCTTGTTACCGAATCTGATTTACCGAAACTTCCCCGATTCGCAGGCGGAGGCTTCGTCGTAGAATCTGATCGACTGAAAGTTCTTGATTCCATTGGAGGAGTGGCAAGAGAGGGAGATTTTCTAGAACTGGGTGTTGGTAAAACTGAACCATCATTTTGTTTGCCTTCAATAACCTTCCATTTCTCTTCAAATATCTTAGACAACTGCTCTGCCATAACATGAACATCCTCCCCTTTCGGGTTATATGTAATGGCATTGCTAAATGTTAGTCTCACATCCTCAGCAAACTCTTTTGGTGATTTATACCAATTCTTATTTAGTCTCATCTTTACAGTACCCAAATCCATTGGCTTCGTTATGATCTTATGATAATCATGAAGCCCCAAACGTTTTGCATCAACAGGAACATTAAAAACCCAACCAAATTTATGATTCATCAATCTTTCCAGCAAGTTACTACAGATTTTAAGAACAGGACCAGTAATCTTACCTCCATCCAAGTTGCAGTCCGGCAATGGGAGCTCATTTGTAGGAGTATATTTCGTGTTCTTATGCTTGTTCATCTCTTTCTCTGCAAATTCTCCGAAGTTTTCAGCCACCGAAACACTCCGAACAAGCCTCGATTCGGGCAGATATGCAGAACCGACCTCAGAATTAGCCTTCAATGTAGTATCAACCCTGTCTACCAAATTATTAGCGGAAAACTGTGACTGACTATGTCCAAAATCCCCACCATAGCCGCTAAGCTGCAACTCCTGAGCTTCAAACTTCTTCACAAGACTCCTGACTTGATCAAGCTCGCCTCTCAGCTTCGTCGTAAGCTCTTTAATCCCAGACCTCGATCTGGAATTCAAACTAATCCTAACTCGGTTATCAAATCTTGTATATCCCGGCATGACCTCGGCGTTAATCGGTTCGACGCACCGATTTTGACGCGAAGATTCCCTAAACGTGAGTAAAGCATCGATCGGATTATACGAAGGAGAGGACGGATTAGCAACGCCATTGGTGACCGCAGGAGTTTTTACGGAATTTCGAGCGACGTGTTTGGAAATTTTACGCTCTTTCTGTTGCTTCCCGGCACTAAACTTTTCATAATCCGTTCTCCTGGGATTCCCTCCCGCATCATCGCCGCCTTGCAGCACTGAAGCCATTCATGTAATCTACCACGATCGATGCAGGTGGAGGATGTAGAATCGAAAAACAAACAATACAAAAACTAGGGTTCCGGCTTGACGATCATAGTAAAGAAAAAGGAAATAGGGGCTGGAATATTCGACGAAATCTGCGAGATCATAGACTGGATTGAAGATGGATTCCAAAAGCTGTTGAACGGATTGATGAAGCTCATCGTTTAGCTCGTTGGTTCGGACTCCATTGTTCACTGTGAAACGCAGAAGTGGTGGCCGAGAGCGAGCTACACGCGCGGGATGCGCGAGTGGGCTTCCCACTATGTCTTGTCTTCTTTCTTTTTTTATTTATTTAGTAATATACTTATAAAGTTATGATTTTTTTTGTACGAATTACTAAAAAATTCGGTAAAAATGAATTTTGATCGTTTTTTTTTTGTTTTTTTGGGATTAATTTTTTGTTTTTTTGTTTTTTTTTTTTGTTTTTGTCGGTACGAGCTCAAGCCTACCGCTAGTAGATATAATCCACTTCGACCCATTACGTATTGTCATTAGCTTTACAATTTAACGTCGCCCAGGATTGTCTCATTCCACTCTCCAACTAATATGAGATCTCATAATCCAATCTCTTGGGGCCAGCATCCTCATGAGCACACCACCTAGTGTCTGGCTATGGTACCATTTGTAACAGTCCAAGCTCATCAGTACATATTGTCCACTTTGACCCGTTACATATCGTGATCAGCCTCATGATTTTAAAACACTTCTACTAGGGAGAGATTTTCACACTCTTATAAGAGATGTTTCGTTCACCTCTCCGACCATGCTTCTTTTTTTTTTCTAAACGGAAGGTACCTGACTCGAGCTTAGCTCAATTAAGAAAAGGGAGGATTTTAAAATAAATAAATAAATATTGGATAAGGATATGCAATATGGGCCTTTAATGGGTTGGGCTGAATTCGAACTGGCCCACTTACTCTTGGACTTATGATCGCCAAGGCCCAAATGAAGTTTTCTGCTAAAATTAAATTTTTATATTTAATAATTTTAATGAAAAATAATAATTTAAAAAAAATTAAAAAAGTCAATTTCCAACAATACCCCACATATTAATATAGCCCACCGTTTGGTTTTTAATGGCTATTTACATTTACACCCAACAACTAATTAATTATTTTAAAAAACATTTATTACAAAGAAAAGAATTTAAAAGAGGTATTAAATAAAATAAAATAAAATAAGTCACATTAATGCATTTAAAAATTATTTATTTAATATTAAATTAAAAAAATCATTTTTATAATTAAAATTTTATCAAATAAATAGTTAAGTGTGTGAAAATAATGTATGGAATTTTATATTATATTTATTATGTTTATTTATTTTTAATTAAATTTTCAAAATGAATTTAAATTAATAAAAAAAAAATCAAAGGATAATATTGAAGGGAGGGGTAAAGAAAGTGAAAATGGTAGAAAAAGAAGGGTAAAAAGGTCATTTGATTATGTGTCAAAGTCCCACATTGATAGCAACATACCACTAAGCTCTTGTACTCTTCACATGCCCTTTTAACCTGTTCTTTACTCTTATATTTCTCTTTAAATTCAATAATTTTCAAAATTATTTATTTTCAAAGAATTATTTGCGTTAAAGAACACGTAATTAAATAAATCGTTAAGATCTGTTCGATAGCTACAAATTTATCACTTTTTTTCAATTTTTTTAAAATATAAATTATTGTCTATAATAACATCACATCGGTCGCATGAATGATACTTATTTTTTATTTTCTACGTTTAAAAATTAAAAATTAGACCATAATTTTTGAAACCTCTATTCATAATTTCTATACATTTTTCTTTCTAATTATTTAAAAATTTAAGATTTCTTTTTTTTTTTTTTAAATCAATTTTTAAAATTTAAATTGAAAAATATTAAATTTTGAATTATTTACGGAATATCCATTAATAGAAATATAGGATCAAAATAAATGTTTTAAAATTAGATAAGTACTAACAAATTTTATAGAAAGGGACAAATTTAAGAGATAAGAATGAAAATAGTATTTTAAATCGAATGGAAATTGTTTTTTTATTTAATATCTATTTAAAGGGACAAATTTTAAAAATAATATTTACAAATGGGTACAAATAATTATGTGGGGCCAAATAAATAATTATCAAACAATAACTTGTGTGGCCCTTCACTTAAATTATTAGAATTAATTAATTAATTAATTTACAAAATGGAGAGGTTATATAGAACTTAAATAATTAAGAAATTTTTAATTAAAAATTAAATATGTCAAATTTAACTCTAAACTTTAAATTTGAGATTTAAAATTAAATTAACGTGGAATTATTTAACAGTTTTAGTTTTTTATTTTTTATTTTTAGGTTATAAAAATGTAAATATATTGGTTTTGGAAAAAAAATGATAAATTTACTGAAATAATTAGTGAAAAATACCCACAAAAATTTAATATTCAATAAATAAATAAATACTTTTTTTTTTTTTATCAAAATGATGAAAAATAGTTAATTTAAAATAAAAATTAAAATAAAATAAAAGGTAAAAAGGAAGAGAGGAAAGGGACTGGACAATGCTTGATGCCATATCCAATCCTTACCAAATTAATTTTAATTATATATATATTACTTTAAAAAATTATTTAAAAAATCAATAAATATCTTTATTAATATTATTTTTCTATATTTTTATAAATTTATTTTTAATCTCATTAAATAATCCAATTCTAAAAGAAAGCAATGGTAACACTCGCTTTTAGGTTTCTCCTCAAAGTTTTAAAACGCATCTGTTAGATAGTAGTTTTTACAATCCACCCCTCCAAATCCTAACGTTCTTGCTAGCACACTACCTCGTGTCTGGCTCTGATATAATTTTTAATAGTATAAGTCTACCGTTAACAGAAATTGTCCTCTTTGAGTTTTCCTTTACGGGCTTCCCCTCCAGGTTTTAAAAGGCATATATTGTGAAGAGGGTCTAGCCCTACTTCGACCAGTGTCTCTTTTCATCTAGTAATTGATTCTGATACTATTTGTAACAGCTCAAATCCACTGTCAGCATATATTATTTTTTTGGACACGAGGTAGATCTCTAATGCCATCTTTCATTTTTTACACACTTCAACATTTCTTTTTCATATCAAATTCGTCTGGTGTCGTGTATAAATCCTCAGTTCGTTAATTATATGATATTAAAATACATATAATTAACCCTGATGAAATTAGTCATGATAAAAAAAATGGAGTAATATTAGTGAATATCTATAAATGTTAATTGTCCAATTATAGGGAAAGTAAATTGAGTATTACACAAAAGTTATCATTTATTGGGTGTTGATTTGGAGTGTCAATTTCAAGACAGTAAGATTTGGGAACTTGAAATGATGCGTACAACGACACAAATGGGAGCTTGATTGTCGTCCCATTTTCGGAAATTTCATCAACTTTATTTTTTTTAAATATAAAAATAAATCCTATTATGGGCCTCTTCTTTAATCTTTTGTTAATATATATATATATATATATATATATATATATATACACATGTATCAAGACCCCTACAAAAAGAACTATGCATACGAATCAAAAAAAGAGTGGGTTGTTCTCTCAATCCCGGACTGATTCGACTATAGAGGCAAACCATAAATAATAACTCTCCTACAAACATAGAGAACTTAAGTTTCAAGAAAATAATAACTAGCATAGAGGCTAACAATAGATAACAACTCCCCCACGAACACAGAGAACTTGAGTTTCAAGAAAATAAGAATTAGCATAGAGGCTAACGATAGATAATAACTCCCCCACGAACACAGAGAACTTAAGTTTCAAGAAAATAAGAACTAGCATAGAGGCCAACGGTAAATAATAACTCCCCCACGAACACAGAAAACTTAAGTTTCAAGAAAATAAGAATACCATAGAGGTCAACGATAGATAATAACTCCCCCACGAACACATAGAACTTAGTTTCAAGAAAATAAGAACTAGCATGGAGGCCAACTATAGATAATAATAACTCTCCCACGTAAACTAAAATAATTATCAAAAGAAGCTTAAATTATTACATGCTAAAGTTAGGCTACATTGTTAGTCAAATCATAGGACCAAGTAACATATCTGAATGCATACCTACACATGGTTGAAAATTAAGGCAATGAATCAAACCAATTGTATATGATAGTTTGGATAGAACATAAAGGTACAAAGGAAAAATAGAAAGGTTATTCCAAACCCAACTTGAACTAATTATTCTCCACTTGTGAAGAAACCCACGTGAGAACTGAAATGTTCCTATCAATTATTAACCCCTTTTGAAGTTAGAATTTAACTTGAAGATCTAATGTGAGAGAGGCATAAGAAAAACAGAAGGGAAAAAGTGAAGGCATTAGACAGCAAAATAAACCAATAATTGAATAGAAAAAAAGGGAAGATTTTGGAGAAAACAATCTATTGGGAGGAGGAGGGGAGTACAATAGTACAGAGTATCACAGCAAATTCAGTAATGATATTGGGCAGAGATCTTGGAAATCTTATTTACGAGCAGGATAGTATAGTAGGCTAAGTTGCCACTGGTGGTCACTGCCGGCTGCTACCGCCATTAAAGACCTCTCTCTCGTTTTCTCCTTTATAGCAGAGCACTTGGTGATGTACTGTTCCATTCATTTTCCGTGGCCATAGCCCATAGCCAGAGCCAGAGCCAGAGCCAGACACACTTTCTCTCTCTACAAATGTCCATGTAGAAAGGGAATTGGGAGGAGGGTGGTTCCGTAAAGTGATCTGGGGTTTCCCTGGTCAAGTGGGTATCTATCACATAAAGAGACATAGCTCTCTCAAAAGCTGTGCTGAAACAGAGAGAGAGGGAGAGAGAGGGAGAGAGAGAGAGATGGGTTAGGCTGTGGAGTTGGAACTGGGTTTAGGCTTCTGGTGGAGGTGGGGGGATGGAAGTGAAAACTGAAAAAGATGAATGGCAGAGCTTTTTGGGAGAGGCAGACGAGGCGGCAGCGGCAGAAGCAGCAGGTTGCAGAGTGGTGGCAGCAGCAGCAGCAGCAGCAATGGCAGGAGGAGGAGGGAGGAGGGAGAGAGGAAGATAGAAGAAGCCATTAAGATTAGGAAAAAGCAGTACCCATTTAAAGCTGGAAGAAGAAAAGCAAAACAATCCGAGTCTGGATCCTCAAGGAAGTCGCCATCATCATCATCAGCATCAAAACCAGATTCTAAATTCGAGGCATGTAGACGGAAAAGCAGAGGAAGACGACCAAGATTCTCCGCCCCACCACCGCCAACACCACCACCATCAGCAGCAGCAACCACAGCCTTTCAATGCGCACCAGAATCAGCATCTTTTTCTTCAAAACGCTCACCAAGACCAAAATCTGAGCAATTACTACGCAGCTTTAGATTTACAGTCAGAACAACAACAACCCCACCACCAGGAAGCCTCCAAGGAACGCTCGTACTTTCACCTTCCTCCACCTCATCCGGTGGCGGCCTCTGCCGCCTCTTCTTCCACTTTCGCAGACCAGAGCATCGAATATGCGAGAAAAATGGAAGAGAGCCACCGCCAAACATCGACGTCGTCAAGGTTGGGGATGAGAACTGGCCGCGGCGGCGGCGGCGGTGGGGAGATTATGGAGGTTCAAGGTGGACACATTGTTCGTTCCACTGGAAGGAAAGATCGTCACAGCAAAGTTTGTACAGCTAAAGGTCCAAGAGACCGCCGTGTTCGCCTCTCTGCTCATACCGCCATCCAGTTCTACGACGTCCAAGACCGCCTCGGATATGACCGACCCAGTAAAGCTGTAGACTGGCTAATGAAAAAGGCCAAGGCCGCCATTGATGAGCTCGCCGAGCTCCCTGCTTGGCATCCGAGCACAGCAAACGCATCCACACAGCGGCAGGAGCAGCAGAGTCTGAACGATGTGAATGGTAACTTACTTTCTGTCCAACGCGATGTTCTCAATTCAACCGGTAACCGGAGAGCGACGGTGGTGGGAAGCGACAGCAGAGTTTCGGAGTTTCCTCGGCAAAACTTGCAGCATACCCGAATGGGGGAAGGCCCAAATAGCAGCACCTCGAGCTTTCTCCCACCGTCGCTGGACTCGGACTCCATTGCCGATACCATCAAGTCGTTCTTCCCTATAGGCACGGCGACGGAGACGAGTTCATCGTCAATTCAATTCCAGAATTATCCACAAGATTTGCTTTCCAGGACGAGTAGCCAGAACCAAGATCTGAGGCTTTCTTTGCAGTCTTTTCAAGACCCAAAAGCTATTCACCGGCATCATGCTCAGCACCAGAGTCAAGGACATCAGAATGAACACGTCCTATTTTCCGGTACCTCCCCCTTAAGTGGGTTTGATGTGACCACTGCTGGTTGGTCTGAGCACAACCTCAACCCGGGGGAGATTAGCCGGTTCCCGAGGATAACTTGGAACGCATCTGGTGCAGAAACTGGTAGCGGCGGCGGCACTAGTCATGGCGGAGCTGGGATTAGGAGTACAGGATATGTCTTCAACTCGCCGCAGTTACCAACTGCGCTGTTACCTTCGCAACTCATGCAGCCATTAATTGGAGAAAACCAGTTTTTTTCTCAGAGGGGACCCCTTCAGTCCAGTCACACACCTTCAATTCGCGCTTGGATTGACCCATCACTTACAGCCACTGATCATCAACAACATCAAATACCACCATCAATCCACCAATCTTCCTACACAGGTTTAGGATTCGCCACAGGCGGGTTCTCCGGGTTTCACATTCCAACGCGAATTCAGGGTGAGGAGGAGCACGATGGCATTTCAGACAAGCCATCCTCTGCTTCCTCTGATTCTCGCCATTGATTTGATCAAAATCCCAAGATTTTCCCTTTCACAGGTCCTAATTTCAATACCCAGTTCTCAAGTTTATCTGATCCTCAACACAATTGTTCTAACCTCAGCTTCTCTCCTACTTCAGACGTTATGTTATTGCAGGTGTGCATCCTCAACTACAAAGACAAGGTTAGCAGCACCAGCGTTAAGACACCGCATGGTACTCAAGAGGGCAGAATTTTGGGTCGTTTTGTTTCAAGGCCTTTACCATGGAAGTAGTGATTCTGAGTACTTTTTCAGGTCTTATAGTCCATGGTTTATTTAGCTTCTGCCAGTTGTTTGTGTTATTTCATGCTGCCAAATAACAATAATAATGAAAGAACTCTTAGGTCTAATCTTTGACGAATCCTTCGATGGAACTGTCTATCTTATTTGTTTCTGTAGCAAAACTTTCATTGTTCTGATTACTTCTTTTTAATCAATATTTCAATTTTAGTTTCTTTGGAATGTTTTACTTTCCCCTTCTAAGCTAGAAACTGAGCCTGTTTGTGGTATGGTCCCCTGAATTCTATGTATAACAGCAAAATTCTATGGCAAAAGGCTAGAAATTTGTAAGTTATAGGCATGTCTTGACCTTATGCTCCACTCATCTATTGACTAAAAAAAAAAGAAAGAGTGAAAGACCTACCCTGCCCTTCCTTTTATGTACGTGAATTAGGCCCTTGCTCGGGGTCAGACAAGATTCCTAGTTGACCAAAAAAAACTTAAGCCTCGTATGTATTACCAATTGAAACTCTTTAGTGTCCTAGACCAAAAGACCTTGGCTATTCAAAATATGAGGAACAACCCTTGGGAAAAGAGTGGAATTGTTATAATTCTGCTCTACCCGCTGATAAACTTGGGTTAAAGATGGTGGATGCTTTCTTGTTCTGAAAACGATAGAAGTAGTTGGTATCTTATACCTGGTGAAAGGAGCTAAGTCTAGATTGCATAAGCTAATTGCTATTTCCTGCATCTATGGTGTTTGCTTGAGTGAATTCCAAGAGAAAGCTGTTTCCATCAGCATTTTCCTTCGAACCTGCAGAAAGAATTATAAGGATAAATCGCATATAAGCAAATGACAAGTCATTTTCCAAGAAGAGTAGATAATAGCAAGTTTTGTAACTAAAAAATTCAGTAAGTCCAAAGTTCTGCCTCCTAATCCTGAGCGTCAAATTCAGAAAATTTGATCACAAAATTGGCCCAGCAGTGCGTTGTAGCTTTCCTTTAAGCTTCCTTGCATGATAAACTTAGAATCTGAATTCTAGTATGAAAAGGAAAGCACAAGAAGCCCGATTCATATAAACCTGTTGAAACTAAGTTTCTGTTCTTATCTGAACCAAAAGGTGGAGCTTACCACCGATCTAGGGGTCTGGTTGTGCCCAAACTACTAGAATTGGATTCCTGTTTTTTCAGTCTTGGTATAAGGGATAGTATTTCCTTCTGAAGCAATGTTTGGGAAATGATTAGAACTCAATAAGATCCTGAGGTAGAGGAATCTGAAATGTTGCTCCATATTCAATATGAATGTGATAGATAGGGCGACCGGTGACCAAGTGGGTAGAGTGGAGTAAATCTACTGAACAGCCAAGAAAGAAGGGCATGAACACAAAAATGCTCAAATATAGAAGCATATACAGATGGATACCACCTAATTATTTTGTTTCATCATCTGCCTATGGTCCCCAACCCTGTAAATTCCACAATCTAGCTGGAATGTCTCTCTCCCTCTTTCTTCTCTACTGCAGTCTCTTGGATAATAAAATTGTCTCATGTGGAGATAGTGACAATGCCCTGCTTTAATTGGTGCTTCTTTAATTCAGTCCATACAGAGCAAGGAAAGAGCAAATGAGACCTCTTAGATCATGAACCTTGTATCTTTTTTCTTGAGAATAGCAAACTATAATCAAGGAAATGCCTAGCGGAAGAAAATGATGGAACATTAAGCATGTTTTTTTCACGGAAAATATGAAGTCTTCTCTGTTATTGGGAAGAATAATAGAGATTCACACTACAAAGCAAGCCGAGTGAAATTATAGTGAGAACTACCAAATTCATTTCACTGAATTTGTCAGCAGTGGTTTGTGGGTTGACTGATTATATATGGAAAAGGCCTTCAGCTTCTTGTAGCTTGTTTCATTTGGGCATATATGAATTTCTAGCCTTTGAACTCCCCTTGTTTGACAAAGAATGATTGGCTGAGGTTGAGACCTTAGACCCCGGTTGATATGTTATTTCATTGAGTTTGCTTCTTTGCTTCGTCTGGACCTTCTTTGGAATGGTGGGATGTGTATTAGCTCGGATCTCCCATGGCCGAGCAGCAATCCACCTCTCCTTCCAGCTCCAACCCCAGTTCTCTTTGTCAAGGCTGTATGAAGCCGGATTTAGATCTAAGATGGAATTGGCCCTCCACTGCAGATGGGGTTCACCATTAAATGACATAACAGAAAAGTCACAATTTTCCTTTAAAGGCTTTGTTATTTGCAGACAAAAACAGGAACTGATTTCATGCTGATAAAGAACTCTTATTTGTCAACAGGTATAAAATATACCCTCTTTACCAACTGATTTTGATCTTCTCAGCATTGATTTATTTGCTCAGTTTGCTTCATAATTGGTAATAAATAGGTACATTTGGCTGTTTGATGTGTTTTCACTCATCATTGTGTTTAATTTTCATAATAAAAAAGGATATAAGCGAAATGGTTTCGTACAAATTAAAAAATGGCCAAAAGTAAGCATACTCATGTCAATCAAAAAGGAAAAACAGCTTAGTGATTTAATTCAAGATAATAGTAATGAGTGCTACAGTTTATATGAAAGAGACAGAAAAATAAGTGAGTAGTGATCTAAGACGAGACAATTCTTTAATGATATAATAATTTGAGCACGCAATAATTTAAGAGTAAAGTTCCGTTAAGAAATCTTGTCAATAAACAAACATTTAATATGAGATAAGTAAAGTCAATTAGTGATTTAATTCATTGAATATTATCTCTCAACTTTCTTCCTTATTTTATCTTGGTCCTCAAACTTTTTAATGTTTTGTTCAGTACCAAGTTAGAAGGTTAATTTTGATCTTTATCATCAAATACTTTAAATATTTTTATAAAAAAATTTGCTTAATACCATATAGACTTGCGTTTTAGGTCATTTCTCCAGTCTAGCATTAAATTCAAAACATGTGGCTTGTGAGTTTTATTAAATACAATGCAAAATATTTAACAATGAGCCCCAAAACAAACTATAAGTATTTATGAAAAATTGGAAATTATCCCAGAAAAATAGAAGATACAAGAGCCAAAGGAAAATGAGGGTTCAACTTTTTGGACCAATATAAAATTTAAATCCGAGAAAAGTTTTTTCTAAGGTCAGATTACAACTAAGCAATCTTTTACCACCCAAAGACATTGAATAATGTATTAAATAGGGTTTAAAGTTCATTAATGATTTATGATTCAAAACCACTCACTACTTAAAAATTAATAATTAACTTGTTTGGCAAGTTAGTGAGAAATTCAAACTTTTAAATTTTTGTTAAATGCATGTCTTAGTTGAGATATATGAGATTAGAGATTCAGACTTCTAACCTCTGAATTGAAAATATATGTTTTGACCAAGTGAATATGATGAAGTTAGGAAAATTACTACGGTTGACTAGTATTTCAATATTTTCAAGTGTCTTAACTATTTTCAATGAAAGAAAAAATAATATTGTAAAGAACAAATGATGAGCAAATGTTAAGAACCAATTCGTTAAATCTATTGTTTTCTTCATTTTTCTAGTATATGTATAAACGTTAGGTTTCAACTTTCTATAACTGAATGAGTATAATTCAATTCAGGCCCATGTGTGATTGATGAAGCATACCTGATGAGAGAATGCATACGCCATAGCACGCTCCCTTCTCACAGCAGCTTCTTCTCGATGCTGAATCTTGAAAAGTATTTCCTCCTTTGTTTCAGATCCACCGCACCATTCTACCTGTGATGGTTGAGCATCACACAACAGATAATGTTATGTCTTTAGTAAATTGACAATTGAGTCAAGATAAACGATACTCTTCAGCTACAAATCAAGTACTTGAAAGAAACCCTAAAATTTTCTCCCTGGAGAGTGGAAGAATGATAACTGTAATCAGAAGAAACATGTTCTTTAAGTCATTAATTAGATTTCAAATTTTGACTAAGATTTTAAACAGAAAAATTAAACGTTAAAAAAGGTGACCATGCAAGCTTATTTAAAAAATAAAAACAAATAATGAAATAAAAAGAGTACCAAATGAAAATTTAAAAAATTTTAAATAATATTTTAAAAATAGCTCAACAGTAAAATATTATATAAAATGGCTAAAAACGACTAATTTGGAAAGATTTTATGGATCCTAGATTGTTGAAGTAGATATTAAAAAGAATCCCCTGATTTTCTTTAATCGCTATTAAGCAGTGGATTATAAATGAGTAAACAAAATAAAATATAGGTGAGTTAACAAACAGAATATTTCATAACTATGCTATTTCCCATACAATTCCTATGTAAGCATGACCGTTTTAAGCAGCAACCAAAGCAATGATAACGCTGATCTCCTAAGATTCGAACAAACCCGAAAGGATTTTGTTCAACTTTCCCAGTAGAAAATGAGTACTCAATCAGAATATTAAAAAATTCATGGAAGACAGTTAATGGCACTTACTTCAAGTTCATGAATTTTAGCCTCAAGCTTCAGCTGATTTTCCTGTTTCTTTTGTTTGACTCGATATTCTGTGACCATACAGAGTCTACGTGTTCTAATTTCTTGCTGCATTCTGCTCCATGAATGAATGAAGCTTAACACTTGTTTTGTAGCCGTTTCACCTTGAATTAGAACCTGGCACCTCTCTGGCCCTTTCGAATCATGTACAATCTTTCTGGCCTGGAAGACAAAAGATTAAACCATCTCATAAAAAATGATCGATTCATTTGTTATTACCATCGAGGTACATGTCTGTATAACAAATAGATCATAGGTAATGTTGGAATCTTCTTTGGTTAGTATAAATGTTGACCGCATCAGCATCATACAAAATTATAGGTTAGGCAATCACAAGTATTGTGGCCAACAAAGGCACAAAATGACAAGATAATACCTGAAGAACTCATTTTTAGATATGAATCTGGAAAAAACTGAACTCTAAATATGCCTGGAATGTAAAGACGTTGTTTCAGCATCACAAACAATAATATCTAAGTCGAGTGAAGGCAAGCCTCAATAAAAAGTTATTATGAATCAGAACCAAAGTAGTTGGATTCGAGATTCTTTGTTAGTTAGTTCACGAGATACAAGAAGATTATGACTTCGTTCTTGTTGCTGATATTGTTTGGATTGCTCTTCCTTATTCCATCGGTTAATCAAAAACCATGAACTGGGAAATGGGAATAACATTTAAAACAACGCCATTGAAGAATAACCAAAAGACAGTATACGAATCACTGATTCTGATCTCTGAAGAAGCAGCTCCAGCGTTTATAATTTATTGTAGGGGCATAAGTTAGCCAACAAATTGGATCCAAGGGAGCTGGAAATAAAGCAACATGGTAAAGCTACGGGAAGCAGCTCAATCGATCATCAGTGTGAGAAGAAAGCAAAATAGATAGGTAACAAATTATTAAGCACATTCAATATACCGTAAATGAGCGAAATGCATTTTGAATTCGAGTTGCAGCTAAATCTTCACTCTTCCCATTAGGGGAACCATTGGATTTTCCTGTCTTTCCGTGTACCTGACCCATGAACAAGACAGAGCAACTTACAATAACTGAAATTTTGATAAGAACAAGTGCAAATGTAGTTATTTGAAGAGGAGCATAAGTGGGGAAATGGAGAAGCGAGTTAAGAATTCGATAATAACAGAGACATCATATTTCACTAAGTTTTTGTTTAGAAAAATAATTTTTCAATCTCAATTTGTTCTCATGAGAGGTTCATTCAAAAGGAAAGCAAGAGACAGATAAAGCTTTAACAAACTACCACAATAACTGATGTGATTTTTTTTATGAGAAACAAATATTTCAGTGATATGATGAACAAGGTAAAACTCCAAGCAATAATCAATAAATTAGGAAGCTTATACCTCCAAATATTAGGTAGAGAAATCAAACGTTAAATTTAAATTTGAATAAGTTTCTCCTGGTTCTGTACTTCAGCAGAAGTTCGTAACCAGAGACGACGCACAAAATACAAGACTAAAAGCCAAAAAATTATTGAACTGAGTAATCTTCACAACCAACCTAATCAATTCCCTTTTTTATGCCCAAATAATGAGGTTCCTGCTAAGTTCCCAACAAAAAAAATATATATAAAACATTGCAATATACAAACATGCATGAAGAAATAGAGAACGATGAAAAGACTGTTACTATAGCCTTAATTCATATCTTCAAGAGAGAACAAATGAAAGAGAAAGCTTACCTGTTCTCCATTGCTTGAAACATGTTTCACCTTCCGTTGATTGAATATTGTCCAAAAACAACTTGCTGGACTCATCCGTATCCAACCAGAATGCTAATCAAAATGGAAAATGCAAAGTGCACAGATTAGAGTCTCATACTCCTACTCATCACAGAAATTTAATCAAATAGATTATATGCTCTACTGGAGAGTAAACAGGGCATGAATGCAGAAAAACCCGTGAACCACCAGACAAATCAAGATAATTGTTACAAAACCTAAAACTAATTCACAACCAAAACAAATAGATCCTTCTCATCATCACCATTAATCCTCCATTGCGTTCATACTTCATAGAGGGTTTGCAATGTAAGATTCGAAGTACGGTGCACAGAGATAAACAAAAACGAATGCTAATCAAAATGAGAAACAAAAAACAAAAGTTCATAAAAGTACAAAAGGTTCATATCCATATCCTTCGCAGACATTACAACAAATAGATTATGTGATTTCTGAAGTGTGACCAATGCACGCAATCCAAATGCCAGAAGAAAAAAATAACCATGAACTGATCGAAACCGTAATAAATAAGAAATGCAATACAAAAAACAACAAAAGCTTACCGGATGATTTCCCTTCCTCTATTGGATGGAACAAAAAATGTAGAACGATAAAAGACAAAACAATCTTAAAAAACGAAACAAGAGCTTACCAGTGGAGAAGCAACAGATAGCGTCCGGCATGGAGGGGCGAGAAGGAGTAGAAATAGAAGGTTAAGTAAAAGGCAAGAAAAGGAATAAGAGGAACAGAGAGAGGAGGCGTAGCACCATCAATGAACATGGTTATAGAAATGACAGCACAACCAAAACGAAGCCGCTGTTTCATCTCTGGAAGATGAAGGGTCACCTCTCCAATGGCGGAGTGAGGAAGAAGAGTGATAGGAGAAAAGAGGTCGCCATTGGAACTGAACCTTCTACTGTGCGCTGCCGCTAAATGCGTGGAAATAAAATAATTTTAATTTTTTAATAAATAAAAAAAAGAAATATATATATATATATATATATAATAACATTGGTCCCGGCGGGGCTCGAACCCGCGACCTTCGGCTCATAAGACCAACGCTCTAACCAACTGAGCTACGGGACCTTATTCGATATTGGTTCATCAGATAAAATATTTCAATTTTAATTATTATATTGTTTTATTAAATTTTAAATAGTATTTAGTACCTAAAATCTCAAACGAATAATTAACTTTGTGAACAAAATTTTATAGCATGTTTCTATTTTTTTTTTTCATGAGAATTTGTTATTTATTTATTGTAAAAAAATAATATTAATTGAACAATTACAGATTAATTTGAGATATAAAAAAAAAACGAGTAAAAAATATTAATATTTTAGGCATTAAAGGATAACTAATGTTTGTTTCATTAATTGGTGAAAAGAAAATGATATATAATCTTACCTAAATTATTGAAGGAGAAAGGACGAGAGTGCAAGTGGGCACGTGTACAAAAATAATTAATAGTAATAAACAGTAATATATATTGGTCCCGGCGGGGCTCGAACCCGCGACCTTCGGCTCATAAGACCAACGCTCTAACCAACTGAGCTACGGGACCATGTCTGATTGGGACATATCATTTATTTAAAATTAACAATTTGTTTAATTCAGTTATTTTTTAAAATTTCCGAATTTATTCTAAAAATGACCATTTATATTTTTATTATTATATTCTTTTATTAAAGTTTAAATAATATTTTAGTAAAAATATAAATTCGTACCCTAAACTTAATGCATGATTTTTATACGTAACTATCTTCCTCTATTTGTTTCGACTTATTTATGAATATTTATCTTTTATAAATATTATTGAAGTGATTTATTATTGAGTCGAAATAAAATTAAAGTGGGAATGGTTAAAATTTCGTTATAAACACAATTTACCATCATTCAAATTTTTAACACTAAGCATTTATATCAGGTTTCAAACGTCTCTTAACCTAATTAAACCTAACCCACAAATAAATCATACAATTATGCATTAAATTTGTTAATTGATTTTAATTTTGTTTAGAGTAATATATGATCGGAGATGAACAATAGAAGAAATTTCAGGGTCTAAATAGGAAGTGGACGAATTAGACAACCGAGGATTTGGGCGGGAAGAAATCGAAGAATCTTATTTATAGAGTTGATTCAACTTTCCCGAGATCATGCTATGAGGGTTTTGTACATTCCCCTCCCAAACCGATATGAAATCTCAAACCTGGTCAATGACGTGATCATGCAAAGACTCGGAAGTTCATCGAATGTACATAGTCGAACAATGCGCCTTGATTACCAAGTCAGTACAGAAGATGATAAAAGAAAGAAGTCTGTACAAAGTTTTATAAATACAACAGGATCCATGTTCTGGAAGCCAACAAATAAATGAGCTGGACACTTACTTTTTAAGTCATATATATATATATATATATTTATATGCAAATTCATATACAAAAGTCGCCAAAAGATCAGCTAACTGCAGTGATAGATAGATGGGTTGTAAGGAACAGCATACAGAGGTTCTTGATTTTAACTGCTCTGATAGTCATCGTTCCTTCCGATCGGTCGCCACTGCTTCCGATTTGCAGATGGGACAGACGTTCTTGACAAGCAGCCACTTCTTTAAGCAGCTTGCGTGGTACTCGTGCCCGCAATCGAGCGTTCCAACTTTCTCGCGGTTCTTATAGTGATCCTGTAAAACCAATGAGGATCTTCAAACTTGCAAGATGAAACTCAAAACCAGAGATGTAAAGAAGATAAGAGACTTTAATCTTTTACCTGGCAAATGATACAGTAATCCGCGTCCTGATCTAAACTTGAACCCTGCTCGTCCTCGTCCTCGTCCTCCTCCAGATTAACAACTATTGTAGGTGCTACATAGCTTCTCGTCTTTAATTGAGTTTTGATGATTTCCTCTGTTAATCCAGTGCTGACGTTACCGATTCGCTCTCCTAAAGCGAGAAGTTCCTGCATAAGCCCTTTTGTAAGTCGATGCTTGCTTCATATAGATCATTACAACCACCAATAGATTGGTTATCCCTGTGTTTGATTAAACCCATGCCATCTCCATATAAAATCAACAAATCAAGTCATTCTAGCAGCTCAGCTCAGAAACAGGATCCAGTGTTTTCAACGCACTCGCCTCGACTAAATTAACTATTCATGTCAAGTCATTCTATCAGCTCAGAAACAAGATCCAGTGTTTTCAACGCACTCGCCTCGACTAAATTAACTATTCATGTCAAGTCATTCTATCAGCTCAGAAACAAGATCCAGTGTTTTCAACGCACTCGCCTCGACTAAATTACTATTCATGTCAAGTTTGACAACTAAAACAAATAATTGAAAGTTGAAAGACAATAACAAACAATTTTTCTGAGTTCAGAACATTACGGATGAAACAAGTAATTTATCTAAATTCTAGCATAAGGATGAAACAAGTATGAAGTGTCAAAGTGTTTAGTGTGTGTCGAAAATTACGATCAATAACTTACCTCATAAGACATATCCTCTATATCCAATCGCATGTCCCTGTGATGGTCTATGGAATTTCCGACTTCGTACAAGTCTGGAATCTCCAGTAATGCAACTTCCTGTAAGTACCAGTTTGCTCATTTCATAAGCTAATAATGACTAAAGAAAGACAAGCTATTAAGAAGCAAAATGTGTTATACGAGGGAAGAAGTATTACATCAGCCTGCAAGAATCTCAACTGAGAAATGTTATGAGGTCTAGTTGTAGTGTCGGGAGCAACACCGGCTCGGGGAAGCCGGTGCAGCCCATGACCAGTAGGTGCAACTACTCCAGGTTGCCTACGCCCGATCTCCAGATTATGAGGATTCATAGTTCCATATGAAGAATTCAAGGGAAATCCATATAAAGCTGCTGTCACTTGTGGGTAGGACTGGAAATTGTGGCCTCTAATTCTTTGCACAACTGCAGATGGGTGATTGTGAATGTGGTGGCCATGGTTAATGGAAGGATGTTGGATATTTCTAGAATTCCTGTTCCCTGCTGTTTCGTGATATCTATGCACGCCGACGTTCATGGTTTCCAGCAAACCTCCATTCGTATTCGTTCCTGTCGAATATTATAACAGAAGGCTTACATAAGAGAGGTTTTTCACAATTCAGTAATGTATACATATGCCATTTTAGCTTGGCTCAGTGTTCCAGCAATTATTTACACAATCAAAAGCCATCACATGATACGTAAATTTTTCAATATATGATCCCTAAAGTTCATAACAATTGGAGGTTGAGGTGTAGTTTGAGAATGCTGTTAACATTAACACAGACAGGGTCGTAATTAGAACCAAAAATAGATATAAGAAAAGATACCGTGCATGAACGGTGCAGTAGACGTCTGATTCCAAGAAGAAGCACTTCCATTGCCACAATTAGCCTGCAAGTGTTGGTCTAACCAGAAAGTAGAATTTGCAGGCTGGAGGTGTTGACCCCTATTATTTCCAAGAGTTGAAAGATTGTGGTCTGGAGGTAGAACAGGGTCATGCCTAGTTCCACTTGATCCAACTCTAACGCTACTCCGAGGTCCACTCCATCTACTCTGAGGCAAGGGGAAAGATGATGCTTCCACCATAGCAACCTCGTCCGGATGCCTTGAATTCGACAAATGCACTGAAGAACTAGAGCTGGCCAGACCGTTCAAGTGTTGAACGTTCCCAGGAATCCCTTCTGTAATTTTTCTCTTGCGTGGATCGCTAACTTCATCTACAGAATACGAATTCCTACCATAGCCATCAGAAGAAGTTTGAATAACCCCATAATTGCTAGAGGATGGCAAATGGTCGTTCACGTTATGATTTAGGGGTGCAGGTAATAACCCGTTACTCGATGGCAGAGTAACATAAGAGTAATAATAATTTCCAGGAGCTGGAGTGCTTAAACCTAAACTATGATGATGTTGAACACTACTGTACTGATTTAAACCATGTAACATTGAGCCATCATAAGGATCGGGAAGATAATGCGCCTCGGGATTCGGTGCATTCCCTGAAGCTGTAACCAAGGAATGCATACTATGCTGAGGGAGGTTAGATATGCCTGGCAGAATGACAGATGGCTCGGCATGAAAATAATTCTGACCGAGTCGGTCCATTTCTAAATCGACCATCGGACTAGTGTGTGGTATTCTCTGCCTCATGTTGATAATGAAATTAAAAGATATAGGAAAGTTATCTGCTCATGAAAGGAAGAAAAATTCATTATGAGAAAACTGGACAACTTAGTATTAAAATGCATATCTTCACATTTGACGTCTAGAAAGTCAAAAAATATTTAATATCTGAGACAGGCGTTCCCGAAGTAGAAGGAAAATATTTCATATCTAGACGACTGAAAGACGATTTAACTGATGCAAATGCATTTTTTCAATAAATGAGAAGATTGTTAGAAGAAACATTATATTTCAAAACTTTCAAACAACCCTAAAGAATATAGATGGTAAAGTCTGAAATCAATAACTACTTCTGGCTAATAGTTTAATACTTAATTACCGGTGCTTACGTAGTAAAATTTGAGTTGGAATTTCATTAACTACAACTTGTATAATATACTTGATATTTAGAAAAATTTAGTGGAACAGTGTAATAGCCAAAGCCCACCGCTAGCAAATATTGTTCTCTTTGAGCTTTTTGTTCTAGGCTACCCTTCAAGGTTTTAAAACGCGTCTATTAGGGAGAAGTTTCCATACCCTTATAAGAAATGCTTCGTTCCCCTCCCCAACCGATGCGGGATCTCACTAGCATAATCGCTGGCATAGCGCCAGTGTCTGGCTCTGATACCATTTGTAACAACCCAAGCCCACCGCCAACAGATATTGTCCTTTTTGGACTTTCCCTTTCGGGATTCCCTCAAGGTTTTAAAATGAGTCAGCTAGAGAGAAGTTTCTACACCCTTATAATGAATGTTTCGTACCCCTCTCCAACTGATGTGGGGTCTCATAGTCATTTTAAGAACTAATATTAATGCCCATAAACCCGGATTAAAATGTTAAAGTCAAGTAAAATTGTCTGTTGTAAAAGTTATTAGTTCATAAACATATAAAAGTTAAGCTGTAGAGGCAAACACACATCTACTGCTAAAAAACTAAGGGTGAATGAGATGGAAAATATAGCAAAAAACAGGACAGAAATCAAGGGATAACTGGGCAAGCAGATCTATTATTTGTAACAAAAATGTCGAAGACAAGTATGATAGCTCCACCAAAAAGAAAGTTTTCGGAAATAAAGAATTGAATGATGCTTGTCTCTAAACCAGAAACGAATAGCAAAAACAAAACTCAACTTCTGGATGAGGATTTGAACGGATGGAATATAAAAGCAGAAAATAGAAGATATCGAGGGCAAAGGAAAATTATCGACTAACCAACACTCCCTTTCTAATCTGAGGAAGAAGAAGTGAATAAGAAGGTAGAACAGACGTCGTTATTTATGTTTGTTCGAATTTTCCTAACAGAGAACGAATAATTCCATTACAACTCCCAGGTGCAGGACCGAGCGCCCACTTTTCCAATAGTAAACGCAACCCATTGCAGAATATCAGAACAATACCAAATGACAGTAAAAAGAAGGGGAAAAAAAACATCTCCTCTTACTAAAACCTTGGAGCCTAAATTCGACATCAAACCACAAAACCATAGTTGAAAGTCGTACCCACCCATTCAAACATATGGTACACGTACAACGTCTACCGAGTACCCACCAGCCACATTAAGAAACTCCAGAAATAACCTTCGAGTTTAAAAGCTAAGGTATCCAACTAAGCATAAACATAAACTTAATCCACCTATTCAAACTCCTGCAGAGAATCTGATAGCATAGATATTCCCCTCTACAGCCAAGCATTCTATGATCGCTCAACGAAACTCATAACACCGAGATTAACGTGTCAGTGATCATGATTCAAAAAAGAATCAATCAGAAACAAAAATAAACAGTAATGAAAAACATCCTTAAGCAAAACTTTACTTCGGTGAAGGTATTTTGTTCAGTAAATCTGAGCTTTCTCTTCAATTAACCTACCTCCTTCACATCCAGATTCAAATCATCCATACGAACACAAACCACCACATATGGGAAACAATCAAGCTTAAAGATGTCAAGGCCGGTAAGAAGAACCATAAAAAATTAATTAACGAACAGTTCAATCCATTTACTGCTAAATCAGTGCCCTACCAGTAGTCTCACGAAGAACATGCTGCTAATAAACTCAAAATTTTCTTCATAAAAAATTCCAGATACTCCCTCAGTTCATAACCATATCGTAGTTTAGGGAACAAAAAATAAACAAAAGAAGATAGATCGCGAAGTTCTACGAATTTCTTCGCGAATCTTCAAAGGCTCGCACCAATCCAACAAGAAAAAGAAAATTCCGAGACGATTAGGGCCGATAATTAGGTACCTTGGAGTCATGAACAAATTTTGTGATCAAACGCGTCTGGACTTCAAAGACGATTGAGCCGATGAAATACCCATACAAATTATCACCGATGCCTGAAAAAATCATAGAAAATACTGGATTTCATTACCAAAAAAAGAGACGTAATGAATCAAACATCGAAAATCCACAAAAAAAAAAAAAAAAAAAAAAAAAAAAAAAAAAAAAAAAAAAA